CTTATGGGGAAATTTCCTTCAGGTTGCAACCAATTCGGGGTGCGACCAGAGTCACGGAACGGATTAAGTTCGTAAACCGAGGTTCCACTGTATTTTGTTTCTTTTTCCTGTTAGTTTTTTTCACTTTTTTTAAAGTGCTTGTTATGTGCTTTTTTCCCCTTCCTTGCCAATGTATACATTTCTATCATGTTTATGTTTGTTTTGTTCTTTTTTTTTCTTTTTCTATTATTTTAAGAAAAAAAATTTTTTTTTAAAAGTTGAACTGTGATTGGAAAAAAGAAGGTTATTAGACCTTGACTATTCTGTGAAACTTTCCTCTAATTGCTTAAATAATTTATATAGCTTCCCATCTCACAACAGTGAATCTGGGCTGAGTGCCATATTGATCCTCTATATTTATCTTGCTTGATAGATTTAAAAAAAAAATCTGTAAATGAAAGAGTTTTTATTGTTGCCAATTCTTCAATAAGTTTTCATTCTAATGAATTATCTTTTTAAAATTATACATAGTACTAGAAGTGTTTATTAATTCAGTAGTGCACTTCTGATATCCAGAATTTGTTCACTATGTACAGAATAAAGTATATTTGTGTTTTTTCTTAAGATTTATTAAATAATAGATGATAGTAAATTAATGTATCATATATAGTCATTGCCAGTCATAGTCAAAAACATTTTAACTTGATACATACATACTTGTTGAAATAGTGAAATGAATATTAGCACTGAACTAATTAATGTTTGTGGCCTTAAGTGCTTATTTACCTAGCAAATATGTTGTACAATTTCAGTGGTTGTCTTAATTTGCATTAATTTTCATTTCTGGGAGCGTTCTTATGTATTACTGAGAGAGCAGTTGTAGCATGTCAAGTGAGAAGCATTTTGTGTGTGTGTGTGTGAGAGAGAGAGAGAGAATGATACACATGAATGATACGCTGGCCAGGATTTACAGGTTTCTTTGTTACAATATGAGTGCATTATTGGAAAAAAATCATGGTTTGAGCAATCTAGTGAGAAAAACTTACTGTCTAAATCGTACTACCATTTACTTTCAAATTATTCTGTGCAGGTTTTAAACTGGGTAAGAGATCAATCTGAGAAAGAACCAGAATTGCAATTATATATCCCTCATCTGCAAAACAACACGATCCTTAGACTACTTCAGCAGGTATGCTTGCAAAACAACACTTCAAAATATTGAAGTAGTGTTGGGGAGAATCTTTCTGAATCAGTCACATTTTTGTTATGCTCATAGGTGCTAGAATGCATACATTCTATGCTGGTCTAATATAAAATACAATTACGTGTAGCTGTTTTCATTGCATTATGTTCAGGCATTTTCTAGTTTAGGGGTAAGTAGTGGGTTAAAACTATCTATAATCCTGTGATATTGTGACCTGGAGTTTGATCCGTTTTACCTAAGTCATATTAATAGGTAAAGAGATTCTGGTTAAATATCCCAAATAGTGTATCATGCCATGTCTTTATTGAGCACTTGGAGGAAAGTGCTCCTATTCTCAGGATTGGTCATCTACAAAAATTCACCCCAAGAGCAAGACATACAATATTCTGGGAGGTTGCAAAGAAGCACAGGGTAACAGCAAAGGTTGCACAAGCCACTCTTGCATTGTCCGATGTCCATTTTTATGAGTCTACCATAAGGAAAATACTAAACAAGAGCGATATGCATGGGCAGTACCAGGAAGAAAACCACTGCTGTCCAGAAAGTACATTGCCACCCATCTCAGATTTGCCAGGCACTTGGGTAATTCATTCCATGTGGCAGTGATTCTAGATACATGATTAAATCTATACCAGAATGGCTGAAATAGAAGAAATTCAACATTTTAGAATGCCTAAGTCAAGGCCAAAACTTTAACCCAATTGAAATGTTGTGGCAGGACTTGAAGGAAGCAGTTCATGCAAGACAAAAGGCCAAAATTATCAGGGAGTTAAAGCTGTTCTATAAAGAGAAATGGGCCAAAATGCCTCCAGGTTTATGAGCGGGATTGCTCAAACAGCAAAGGAAATATTAGAAGTAATTACTGTTAAAAGATGTGATACCAGTTACTAGGTCAAACCTTCCAACAAAGACAGTTCAGTATGTTCCATGAATGGCAAGCCTGCTGTCTTGTTTATTTCTTTTATATCTTGTTTTTTGTTTAGGAGCTCAAGACAGTGTACATAGTATTCCTTTGTCCCATTTTTCCTTCCAGTAACCATCTGGAATAGGTTCCAGCAACAATCTGGAGATAGGTTTGATGAGAAAGAATAAGGGGCCTAAAGTCAGAATCCACTGAGCTGCTATAGCTGGGGGGGACTCGAACTTTGATTTCTCCAGTGCCAGTCCAACATTTTAACCACTATGTTGTTGTTTTTTAACCCCAATCTGTTATTAATTAGATTTAGATGAAGTTCAGATCACATTGTAGGTCATAGTATATTGCAGGATTACAGGAAATTATAAACTTTTTCTCACTACACATTTTTAACGTATCTGGATTGTTAATTCATGCATCTTTATGTTAGGCATTTTTATTTAAAGATGTTTTGATTCTAATGCACATATCATTGACCTGCTTCCTTTGCACTGGTAAGCAGTGTTATTTCTGGTGTGCTAAAGGGAGATTATGAAGGCTAATTAGCAGCTTTGCTTCATTTTGTAACTGCTGCCAGTCTCCTTCATACATTGTTGCTGCTCAAAATAGTGAGGTTTTAATAAATGGTAGTTGCTAATATCAAGGGTTATTTAAATTTGAATAATATTGCTGATTGATTGATTGATTGATTTCTTTAAAAATATTGAGTGCTAGGAAACTGGTATGATTTACTGGAATATTTCTATATTTTTGCAGGTGGCTCAAATTTATCAAAGTATTGAATTTTCTCGCCTGACTACTTTGGTTCCTTTTGTGGATGCTTTCCAGTTAGAACGTGCCATTGTTGATGCAGCCAGACACTGTGATTTGCAAGTAAGTGGTAATGACAAGTATCAAATATTTGTGTATATTTATGTCTTTTTGTAAATTTGAATTTTCATATTAAAAACTGATCTAGCAGGTATATTTCTTATGGAGTCCAAACAAGCAATTCCAGTACATTTCGCTTAAGTGGAAGAAGGTATAAAGTAGAAGTTACCACTCTGAATTACTTTCTGTCTACTAACGTAGTGAAAAACTCTGCTGGATCATCCAAAAGGCTCTGTTCCCAACTACTGATATTTAGAAGTATAAATGTACATAATCACAGTATAAACTGAACAAACTTTGATTTCTTTATTTTTAAGTCCGTATTTCTGGCAGCAGTGGGGTTGCAGTGTTTAGGCTATAATTCTATATATGTTTTTGTGGGTGTACTTCTCATTCAATGGAACTCAGGGTAACTTATTTCTGAATAAACATGCATAACATTCTGTGAGTTGATCAAGCAAAGAGAGACATTAATTTTGCCTACAAAATGTGTTTGTTGGAGAAGGTAGAATGTATCATCTTAGATGTCTGTTGAGATAAAGTATGTATCATTTAAAAGCAAAATACAATTTTATTTTAAAATTGGTTTTTCACATGCAGGTTTGGGTGACTAAAAATTAGAACAGACCTTAGCTTGTTTAAATAATATGTCAGTTTATTACTGTTTCTGAAATGAACTGTTAGTGTTCTAAGTGTTTAAGAGCAGTAACTCTTAAACTCTTACAGTACTACTGAGTTTCTGATTTTTACTGATTTTACTTTTTAAAAGGTTCGCATTGATCATACCACCCGAACATTAAGTTTTGGGTCAGATTTAAACTATTGCACCCGGGAAGATGCTCCTCTTGGACCTCAGCTGCAAAGCATGCCCTCTGAGCAGATTAGGAACCAGCTGACAGCCATGTCATCTGCTCTTGCAAAGGCTCTTGAATTAATTAAGCCACCTCATCTATTGGTAAATCATAACTTTTTGGTTTGCTTTTTAAAAACATTGTATTCTTTGGGAAAACTTTGGTATGCTCAATTATGATTGGAGTGTTTCTTCTTTTCTGTCTAATACACATTTCTTGTTCCTCTGGTAAATTGGGGTACTTCCCATGATTCTACTCCCAGTGGATAAAAACACACACATGGGAAATAAAAAGGAGATGGAATGGATTGTTTTAAGATCTTTGGATGCTACTTCAGCTGTTCTTAGTTTCAAGCAGGTAGTAATGGTTATTGTTTAACATCCAGAGTTCTTTTTCTTTTTGTTGAAAGCTATTTGAACACTTGCTATAAATTACGTCCCAGTAGCAAAAATATCATATGGCTTACAACAATGAAAATGAAAACATAAATATAAAACATGACATTTAAATTAATCCAATTAAAATCAGTGAATAGCTAACGCTTGGTGAAAGAGATACATTTTTGCTATTTTCCTAAATACTGGGCAAGTGGGAGCCACACATACCTTTCTAGAGAGAGCTTTCCATAGCTTAGCAGCCGCATAGGAAACTGCCCTTTCCCATGTATCAGAAAGCTGAGATCGTAATAACAGGAATATCTTCAAAACAGCCTCTTCTGCTGATCTAAGTAAGGCGGAATTTTGGTAACGTTCTGGTCTCTTAATAGCATTTGAATCTCAAAAAATAATCTTGTTATGTTAACTTTTATTCAGCTAGAAAAGGAAGAACAACATCAACAGGCAGTTACAGCTTACTTAAAAAATTCAAGGAAGGAACATCAGCGTATCCTTGCTCGCCGGCAAACTATTGAAGAAAGGAAGGAACGTCTTGAGAGTTTGAACATTCAGCGTGAAAAAGAAGAGCTGGAGCAGCGTGAAGCTGAGCTCCAAAAAGTTCGCAAAGCTGAAGAAGAGAGACTGCGCCAGGAGGCAAAAGAGCGTGAAAAAGAGCGTATTCTGCAGGAACATGAACAAATTAAAAAGAAAACTGTTCGTGAACGTTTGGAGCAGATTAAGAAGACTGAGCTGGGAGCTAAGGCCTTCAAAGATATCGATATTGAAGTGAGTGTTTTTTTGTGTGGTAATGTGTTAATTTTTAATTTATGGCCTGGCTTCCTGTTAAAGGCAGAACACATGAAAATAATGACTCATTGTCCTAAAGGACTAATAGCAAATTGTCCAAGAGCCCTGTCTATGTCATGCTGCCTGAAATCCTTTCAGTTAGGGATGCAAGAATTATGACTCAGAGCAAAGCAAGTTTTCTGTTCCCACTATGCTAATGTAAAGTTGATGATCTAGCAACTTCAGTTTGGAATTCTAGAGTTGTGCTATTCCAGCAGTCATGTTCTGATTCTTCCTGAAGAGTGTATTCCCAGTTAAACCACCCACAGGCTTGTCCTCCATCTTGTCTGGCTTAGGTTTCCTAACTTTAATGCATTTTCCCCAATTTGACATATATGAAGTATTACTTTCTATGATATTAAAATAATTGATAAATACACTAAATGTCTAAGAAAAACATAGTACATAATGTACTGTGGGAACTACAAAAATGTTTTCATCAAGTTCAAAAATCTGTTTTTTATGCTTTAATGTTTATTATTTGTAGGATCTTGAAGAATTGGATCCAGACTTCATTATGGCAAAACAGGTTGAACAGCTTGAAAAAGAAAAGAAGGAATTGCAAGAGCGTCTGAAGAATCAGGAGAAAAAGGTAAAAGAAAAAAAGCCAATATGGATAATAGTTAAAGAGTAGGTAGAAACAACAGCACTTATAGCTGAACTAAAAACATTTTTCTTTCTTTAACTTTAAGAGTATAAATCAGCTTTTTTTTAAATCTAGATTGACTATTTTGAAAGAGCAAAACGTTTAGAAGAAATTCCACTGATTAAGACTGCCTATGAAGAACAAAGAATCAGAGATATGGACCTTTGGGAGCAACAAGAAGAAGAAAGAGTAAGGTTCTGGAGAGCTTGCTGGTTTGACAAGCAATTTTTTGTAGTAACATGTTTCTAGTAAATTTTAAATTCAGGTTAATTTACTTGCCCACTAGCAACATTTAATGGCCAAAGTCATTATTGCCCTAAGACATTAAGTATTAGAGAATTCCAGTCTCTTCTGGACTTTCAAATTTTGTCACTACAGAATGCATATCTTCCACCAGAATAAATTATACAAGCTATAAGTAAATTCATTTCATTACTCTAAAAGTTTTTCCAGTTGTGTAATCACTAGAATTTTGTACTTACTGCAAAACCATGACTGCAGTGTTTTTACTGTAATTAATTACTATAATGTTATTTAACAGACTATTTGATATTTTCTTCAGTGTGCAACTTGTCTGCTAAATTTTAGACATTGGCATCCAAACATCATATACAACAGTACTTTGATTTGATTTTGAATATGTTACAGATCACAACCATGCAACAGGAACGTGAAAAGGCTCTTGAGCATAAGAATAGATTGTCACGGATGATAGAAGACAGTGAATTGTTTATAACTAGGCTCAAGGCTGCAAGGAGATCAGTTTATGAGGTACATTTCATTTTTTTGCTATCTATAATCTTATGTATGGGATCTTTTAGTTCAGTCGTAAATTAGAATGTTCTAGAATGGGCAGGCAGTGTCTAAAAAACTCAGGGCCCCTGACACTTGACATTAAGGGTATTAGCTTAGCCAAAATTGGCTAGGGTTGCCTCCAACATTGCTTGCCTGTATTTTTTATTTGAGTGTTTATCTGTATGTCGGATGGAATTCAGGAGAATGTGGAGTTGTTACAAAAAAGATATCTCAGTCCCAGGAAAATAGAATAGTAGAAAATGTGAAAAAGAAAGTCAAAACAACTCTGCCTTGATTAGGTTAGGTATGAGTTAAATTGTATGGTTTTGACAGACTTTCAAAATTCTGTAACAATACTCTACATTCCAAGAATTCTTTTCTTGACCTTGTCTACCTTGAAAGGTTAATAGAATGGTTCCTCAGTCCACTTTCCCACCCTGTAGTTGTGACTCTGCTCCTCGGGGTAGGGAGGTGGCTTGGGTAGCTACACTCAACTCTTGGGTTGTACCACCTATGAGTTAATTATTAGTCTGTAAAATTTCAATTTAGCCCTGGTAAAAGGTTCCTTTTAACTTAATATCACTTATGTACTGCCTCTCTTAACTTAAAATCTATCTTATACACTGCCATGTAACAATAAGAGGCATACTATTTATAAAATCAGCATATGTTTGCTTTGTATAGACAGTTGTTCACAGTGTGTCTGGCTACATTTTGCTATCTGTTACTCCATATCTTCATATTGTGGCAAGAATATAAACAGCATTTGTCTTTCTACATGGCTTTGTGTAACTAGCTCTCCAAGTGGATAGAGCCCTAGTGTGTTTTTATCACCATCTGCCAAGCTAAAAAGTAATTTGGCATACGTCCATATTTGACCTTCTCTATGTTGCTTCTATCATTTCTGTAGTTCAAGGTTAAGTATTGTTATTTCAGGAAAAACTTAAGCAATTCCAAGAAAGATTAGCAGAGGAAAGATGTAATCGGTTAGAAGAACGTAAGAGACAGCGCAAAGAGGAAAGACGCATTACTTACTACCGTGAGAAAGAGGAGGAGGAACAAAGATTGCAAGAGGAAAAGATGCTTAAAGGTAAATGCTGAAAGGGTCTTCCTAAAATAACACCCTGCCTTGATCTTTTATTTATATAGCCTTATTTCTTAATAGTAATTTTGCATGTCTGGATAGTTGTGTGTCATGGCTGCTACTAGAAATAAAGACATTTGTTCTGCGTCTCTTGCAAATCAAAATACAGGTAGTCCTCACTTAATAAACATTCATTTAGTGACTGTTCAAAGTTATGATCGTGCTGAAAAAAGTGACTTATAACCAGTCCTCACACTTAACAACTGTTGCAGTGTCCCCATGGTCACGTGATTGCAATTTAGGCATTTGGCAACCATTGTACATTTCTGACCTTCCCAGCCAGTTTTCAACAAGCAAAGTCAATGGAGAAGTCAGCAGGAGGTCACAATTTGCAGTCACATGAAGTGTCACTTAATGACCATGAGTGATTCGCTTAATGACTGCAACCAGGACTCCTGGAACTGCTGTTGTAAGTTGGTGCAGTCATGTGAAGTTCTCCTTAACAACTGCTTCATTTAGCGAAGGAGTTGCCAGTCCCAATTAGGGTCATTAAGTGAGGACCACCTGTAACATTTACTGAATTACAACACATATATATTACCATAAATGTATACTAGTGCGCACCATATTTTGCTCAAATGTTCCTACAGAATTATTTATATTTGGGAAATATGTATATAAAATTGTTATAACAAGAAAAGTTCCATTAAAATATATTAGGGGAAGTGGCATATGACAACAAAGATTTTCTTCCATTTTTCCTTTTTTTTAAAACTACAAATAAAAAATGATTTAAAATGAACTACATTTAGATTGATCCACACATCCTTAACTGTTACTTATAAAATTGAATTTATTAAAGCTAAGTCTCAAATTGTGTAAGTGTGAAATGCTGGTCAAATCAATACATTTGAAGATGAAATACCCATTTTTAAGCCAAGATGGGAAGGTGTTTTATTATCTTTCTGATTTGTTTGGACAGAACAAGAAGAAAAAGAACGTATTGAACGTGAAAAACGTGAACAAGAAATGCGTGAATATCAGGAACGTGTTAAAAAATTAGAAGAGGTAGAAAGAAAGAAACGCCAAAGGGAATTGGAAATTGAAGAGCGGGAGCGTCGTCGTGAAGAGGAGAGGCGGAATCTTGAAGATTCACTTTCAAGGAAGGTAAATATTTCTAATGAAGTGGATTTTTCTGGAAAGCATGACATCAACCGTACAAATCTTATAATGAAGGAATATTGCCAGTTCAAATATTCTGCTAGAAATCATCTTAAGATACAGTTTCTATGTGCCATTTTAATATTAGTTTATTTTAAAAATGTATTGCTACAATTTAAATTTAAGCAAAGATTATTAAAAATAATATATATTGCATTAGCGTCTTCTGTTCTTGATGTAAACAAAGATGTTATACATTGATACATTGACTTTGCTTGTCGGAAGCCAGCTGGGAAGGTCGCAAATGGCGATCTTATGAGTGCAGGACACTGTGATGGTTCTAAGTGTGATGACCAGTTGTAAGTCACTTTTTTCAGCATGTAATTGACATTGTAATAAAATATTTCAGGTGTAAGAATTGGTAGATTTGTAACATTATTTTAAACATTGGAAATAATAGTTTGGAGAGTCAGATGGGTACAAGCTAAATAAAAAGTATTGCATTGAAATGTTGGAAAAGGTGCACCAATCTTTTTAAAGCAAGTTCTGAGTAAGTGGGCTGATTTAGATTTTTGAGAAAATATACTGAGCATCACATGGAACCCATTCACAAAATAGCTTCTGTATCCTGAAACCAAGATAAAGATTTTGAACCTAAAAATTCATTTATTCATAATGAATCCCATCATTTCTTCCTTGTTCTTCCTGCATTTTCTAATCTGAACTTCTTTTGCATTTGAAATGCCCTGTTACAGAAGTGATGGGTTCTCTTATACGCACATTTTATATCTTTTCAGAAATGAATTTCAAATATTGTACGCATTACTGAGGGATAAGCATGTGCTACCATGCGGAACTGCTGTTCTCTGTGTCCCCTCATTGTTAAGTCATAACTAATAATTAAGATCCCATATTAAGTTACTAAATTTTTAGACCTAGTTTCCAGATATGAAACACTTTGCGGTTATCCATGTTGAATATTATATATTTATCCCATGCTCTTTCAAGATACCTGTAACACCATAGAACAATTTGCAGTACTCAGCTGCTATAATATATCAGTTCAGCTCTCTGGAATAGGTTATGGATCCCTCTGGGGACACTGCTGCTTAGGAAAGAGAAAAAAGATTGCTGAAAAGAGGAGATAATAGAAAATGCCTCCCTCCACTTTTGACTCTAGATGCACCCACTCTTTGCTTCTTTATGTGGGCTTCTTCAGATAAGGCTGGGGGATGAAGGCCTTGATAGAAAATTGATTGTCCACTCCAGCCATAGCATGTCCTTTAAACTTGCAAACTAGTTAAAAGCAGATTGTGCTGATAAAATAATTTATAGGTTGTGTTTTTTTAAAAATTGTTTGTAATAATTGAAATTAAAATATGAAGTATTCCTGATCTTTTTGGGTTGTACCCTAAGGTTGCTTTTCATTATGTTTAAATATAGGAATCTCGTTGGGGTGATAGAGAAACTGAAAATACCTGGAGAAGAGGTACTGATCAGGAATCAGAATGGAGACGTCCACCAGAAAGGTAGCTCGTAGAGTAATGTTTAAACAATCTATAATAGGTTAACGTTTCCTTTCTGATTCTGATGTCCTGTGCAAGAATGAACATTGTCATCCAAAGACAATTGCCTGGATATGGAATAATTTCAATAGCAGTTAATGCCATGTTACAATGATTCATTAAAGATTCCAAAAGATTCTTGGAAATCTGATCATCTTAGTGAAGATTCACTTTCTATATAGTTAATTGGTGACCTAAATAAGACCATGGAACTATTAATATATTCAGTAACCAAACTGAGTTTTGTATAAGTATTTCAAACAAATTGGCGTATCTGACATAGGCTTGTTCTATCCTAGTTGTAGGTTGGAATCATTTTTGCTAAATGTATTGCTATATTTGCACCCCTTCCTCTATAGTTTCTCTCTGTTCCTTATATTTTGTTTATGTAGTTTAATGTGTTTAATTCTCAAGATCCTAAAAAAATAGTTACTTTCTTGTCATTTTATAATCCTAATTTTCCCCTTTCTCTTTCATGTTCTATTTATGCGTTTATGTATTCATTCATTTCAGTGTTTCATTAAAAGAAATCCCTGCTCTTTCAGGAATAGGTAATTGAATTCCCATTGTAGAGGGAAAATATTTTTCCTCATAAAAACTTTAATATTCTTGCTTTTACTAGTCCAAAGTTTATGTGCCTGTTTTAGCTAGTTCTCTTGTCTGAAGAAAACAGCTGTCTGTACAAATAAGCAGAACAGCTACTTCCATTTTTTTTCCTCAGGTCAGTAATAGATAAATGAACATAGACGATTGCACTTACGAGTGCAATTTGTTAGAATAGACCTTGAGTGATTTATGCATGAGTAAGAATATTAAGTTTTGCTCTACCTGGAATACATGGTTTCCCCACTTTAATGTAATGTTCCGCTGTATTCGATGTAGGACAGCCAGATTGAGTAACAGTTTTGTTTCCCAGGCTATTAGACTTTTGAATGCTCATTAAATGTTTTTTTGTTTTTATAGAATGCAAAATGTATTCTGCTGCCAGATGGTAAAATATACATTGTATAGTTACCATGGTATTTTAAATTGTATTTAGTCAGGTTAAATTGGGAGTCGGTTGTGACGGAATTTCATTTTATTATGCACTTGGTGTGTACTGTATGGTGAAATGACAATAAAGTATCCTATCCTATCCTATCCTATCCTAATGAAAGCCATCCCCTAAATATTGTGTATTAGGTTTCTGCATATACCATATTTTTCCGACTATAAGACAATACTTTTTTCTAAAATCCTTACGCTAAAAATTGAAGGGTGTCTTATTCAAGGAAGTAAGCCGAGGAGAGAACCGTGCCTGCAAACAAGCTTCCTCCTATTGCTAGCCTCCAATCACAAGTGAAATAGCTTGTCTCTGAAAACAGACTTCCTCCAATCACGGGCCTTATGTAACTGATGTCAGCTCATGCTGAACAAACC